TGGCAAAATGGACAAAGCGATGACGCATCTCACGCCACTGCTTCTAGGAAGTGACAGCGTCAAATGTAGTGTCGTTTAGGAGGCGTTCTACGCGTTTTTGTCGCATAGTGCTGCAAGTGGTTGCAGTGGTTAGTTGCATTCCATTCTCGTGAGGAGTTCATTTGTTCAACTGAAGCTGAACTAGCTTCACTAGGCTATGATAATTTCTGCGTTTCAACGGATCTCCTGGAAGCCTTTGCTAAGCACTCCGAAAGGCAAGAGCCAGTTAGCGCATGCCGAAAATTCAAAGATGTAGTCGGATCAGTGAATTATTGCCACGCTTGAAAACGAAGTTTAACAAAAGGTTCTAAGTTTGCAATAGTGTGCTATTATATATGCATTACATTCTGTTCCAATCTCCATGACATACAACGAACCGATTATCATCATTATCATGCCGACGACGACGGGGGCCTTGATTGACATTGTTTTCTGATTCCATAGCCCGAAAAGTGGGTTTGCCTAAATGAAAAAGTCATGCTGCGCTCAATGTTCAGACAGATGTATAAAAATGTTCCTGGAAGGGACGTCATCTTGGAATTCCAACTTGTGTGGACTTTGTAAATTAAGTCACTTCATGGATGTAAGATGATCCGGGGGTTTCACAAAGTTCGGTTACAATTCGTTCAACCACTAAGCAATTTTCCCGGTTGTACAACTCAAAATGTTGAAACATTGGCAAAGCAAGTGTCTCTAGGCCGTAGGGGCTACCAGGTAACCTAATATAATATAGGAATGGCAAGTTGCATTTTTGATCACTCGTCGTGGAATTAAGCTGAATTGCATGCTTCTAGTGGAAATGAAGCATATGGGTTTGTTAAGAGCAACAGGATGCACTTGTCCCGGACTAGACGTATTATGTAGGGCTGCAGCGGCCTTTGATGGCGTACCCTTGATTGTTCACGTTCTCGGAAAATTACTGCCTGCTCTGTTTTCTGCACTGTTCATCTTAGCATAATCTGCGGACCGCCTGCTCCACCGCGTCAGGGTATAGAATATCCTGGTGCGGTGGAGCAGGCGTACGAATGAATCATATCATTATTCCCGTTTGAAGAATAGTGGTTAAGGTTACTGTCTGAGCAAGGCAGGAAAAAATCGGAAAAAAAGAAAATCCTTAGAAGATTGTGTTTACTAATATTAAAGCTCAAAACCTACAATGGAACATCCAAGACTGCATGCAGCTATTACCCATCCTAAAAAATCCACAGTAGCTGTTCTGTCCACCTGAAGTACACTATCACAGAACCTGATTAAAATGAATGCATGTACAACTGGTTTATTGATGAATTCAAAATGATGCCCATGTCACACGAACAGTCATCGAGTAAGGGATTAGTAGGCGCTTCGCAGTTTCTGCAC